TTCTGCTCCTATGATGCTGCTTGGCCTGCTGTGTTCATCCAGCCCTGCACCTTGTTGTCTCGCAGGAGAAGAGTTATTGGGTGTGATTCAGAAGTGGACTACATTGTTGTGAAGACAGATGCTGAAAGGAGAGCCAAGGAAAATCTCAGCGTCATGTTGGAAGTGGCCAAATGGTCTTCCTCCATTGGTAGCAGTTGAACAAAGAATAATAATCCACACAGAATAAAGACAAAGAACGCAGTTGTTGACTTGTTTGCTGAGCTGGCTTGTTTTTGTTCAGACGTTTTGTCACCGTGTCAGGTGAGATCATCATGTCATCTAGCACGGTGACGAAACATCTGAACAAGAACAAGCCAGCTCGGAGAGCAAGTCAACAACCTCATCCACAACCCGAGCTACAGATCTTTCCCAAAACTTTAAACTATTGATGTATCTAGTGCAATACTTGACTTCACAGACAAGGACAGGGATGACACAAGCATAAGCCAAGTTATTAATGGTATAGACCAAAACTTACTCAATAGGAATACATTTTTCATTTTCATAATCAGAGTTGCCACAACGGAGCTGCCTGGTATTCTTGTGGATTCTATCACGACTTGGGAAATACAGGCTATCAGTATGTCTGCAGAGAAAGGTAAGTTGCTTTTGATTTAGTGAATAGTCATAGATCTGGATTTTCATGCCTCTATCTGTGCTGTAATGGAGGCAGGTGGAGAATGTTTTAAAATGAGAATTCCGGCCCAATTCCTGTCATGTGCGATTTTTATGGAACCCAAGATTAAGGTGAAGGCTGTGATCCTACACTCAGCCATCCCACCCTTTATAGGAATCCCTGCTATTCTCATGGACTTGGGCATGTTTTGGAAGGGTGGGTGCTCATACAGTCAGACTCATACAGTTCAATTCGTCTGTGCCAAACAAGATTCCCAAATTATACTAGTCCCACTGGACTGTGTTTGACCTGTATTCCTCTAAACCGTTCCTATTCATGCACATGTCCAAATGTCTTTTTAAATGTTGTAAACGTACCTGCATCTACCAGTTCCTCTGGCAGTTTATTCCACGCGTGCACCACCCTCTGTGTGAAAACGTTGCCCCTCAGGTCCCTTTTAAATCCTTCTCCTCTCACTTTAAACTATGTCCCCTTGTTCTGAACTCACTGACCCTATGGAAAAGACCTTTGCTATTCACCTTATCTATGCCCCCGTGCAACCTCAACATGATGTCCCAACTCCAATATTCAATAGTCTGAGCAATGAAGGCAAGTGTGCTAAATTCCCAACTTAACCACCTGTCTACCTGTGATGCAACTTTCAAAGGACCAAAATGCAAAACCTTGCATTTATACAAATTAAAATCCATCTGCCGCTTTGCAGCCAACTGACCCGATTGATCAAGATCTCTTTGTAATCTTAGATAACCTTCTTCACTGTCCACTGTCATCCACAAACTTACTAACTATGCCCTCTATATTCTTATCTGAATTGTTTATATAAATGACAAACAAAAGTAGGCCAGCTCTGATCCCTGTGGAACACTGCTGGTCAAAGGCCTCCAGTCCGAGAAACAACCCTTCAACACCACCCTCTGTCTCCCACCGTCAAGCCAAGTTTGTAATCTTGTAATTGGCAAGCTCACCCTGAACCCCATGTGATCTAACTTTATTAATTAAGCTACCATGCCAAACCTTGTCCAATGCCTTAATAAAGTCCATGTAACAATGTCTACTGCTCTGCCCTTTTTGGTACTTCCTCAAAATTGGCAAGTTCTTCCCGAACCATCCTCACCACTTGCCTTCCCAGCTGTTTTCGTGTCAAAGGCAAACTTGGTTATAGTACATTCACTTTTCTTATCCAAGTCATTAATACATGTTAATTCTCAATTGTCCTGAGCAATTAGGTTTGGGCAATAAATGTTGCTATATCCTGCATCATTCACATTTCATGAGCACGATACCTTAGAAGAGTGATGAACCATGTGGAACACAATGCCCAAGTGGGTAACCTAATTAAAATAGTCACTCCTGAAATTCTTTTATCAAAGGTTTTTGAAATACAGGAAACAAAATTTGTACTTTCAGTTTCATAAGTTAAAAACTGCATCTTAAGTAAGTTTACTGGACTGACTGATGATGTGCCCTGACCTGGAAGGGTAAGTTCATCAATAGTGTGCAGGTGTGTGGTAGGAGGGCTCTTGTGCATTTAAAACGAGATAAGATACTACTTAAGATCTCTAACGTAATGATCTGAAATTATTTTAAATTCCAGAGCTCTTATAAACTGAAATAAAATAAAGACTTCATCATTTTTCACATGGAGAAATAAAATCTCATCTGCTCTTAAAGTGATGTGATTGACAGGACTGGTGTAGTTTAGAAAAAAAAATCTATTCTTTTAGTTTCAAGGGATTACATTTATATATTGTGCATTACAGCTGCCTGCATGAAGACATGCAGCTCCATATGTGTGGCGATGATGATGACAGAAGCTCTGTTCAAAGATAAACTTGATGACAAAAGAAATCATATTTATGAAAGAAAGGGATTGTTATTTTAAGCTCACTGTGATTGCTTTGGATGTAATTGTCCATGTTTATGAAATGTGAAGTGAACCCCGTTTTAAAATATAGATTTGCCACATCTTCTGACTGGTAATGATGCTTTCCTCCAGGAATATGTGTTGCTGAACCTTATGATCTGATAGTGAGGAAGGACTTCTTCATTGACCTTCGACTCCCATACTCTGTCGTCCGTAATGAACAAGTGGAAATTAGAGCAGTTTTGTACAATTATGGTACGGAGGAAATTACAGTAAGTTTTGCAATGTAGCCATCTCACTATTATGCCCCTACTTGTCATTTTTATGCAGTGTGGTATTCAGATTTATTTTGTATAATCACAGAACGTGCGTATTGATGGAAAGTCCAATCTTTATTGCACATTTTTAAGAGAAGGTGGTGGTGAGCAACCATCTTGAATACAGCTCAGTGGCTGCAGTGCTTCATTCTGAGTCAACCACTTTTCTAGCGTTTGTAATTAAATAGGTCAGACCAGATAAGGATGGTAGATTGCTTTCCCTAAAAGGGAATAGTGGATCCATTGGGTTTTTATGACGGTTATAGGAAGGATATTATTAAGCTGGAAACCATTCAGAAGTGGTTTACCAGGATGTTGCCAGGTACGGAGGGTTTGAGTCATAAAGAAAGGCTGGATAGGCTGGGGCTTAATTCACTGGAGCCTAGGAGGTTGAGAGGTGCCCTGATGGAAACTTATAAAATAACGTGAGGTACAGATAGGGTTAATAGTAGTTGTCTTTTCCCTAGGATGAGGAATTTCAAGACTAGGGGGCACATTTTTAAGGTGAGAGGAAAGAGATTTGAAGAACCATGAGGGACAACATTTTTACATTGAGGATGATTTGCTTGTGGAATGAACTTCCTGAGGAAGTGGTGGGTGTGGGTACAGTTACAACATTTAAAAGACATTTGGATAAGTACATGTATAGGAAAGGTTTGGAAGGATGTGGGCCAGGAGCAGGCAGGTGTGACGAGCTTAGTTTGGAATTAGGTTCGGCATAGACTTGTTGGACCGAAGGATCTGTTTCTGCGCTGTATGATTCTATGATTCCATGATAGTCTGGTAGACTTTCATTCATGAATTGAATATAAATTGTCCAGCTGCCAAGTTTGTATGTCACATCTCTGGATCAATGATTGAAGCCTCTCAATTTCTAGATCAGGACAGTAAATATTTACTTTGTAGAATAGAATTTAAACATTGCTAAAAGAATAAACAATGATATGTTGATTTTGTTTTGTACTCATCAGGACTACAACACAAGAAATAAACTTCAGGAGAGGGCCATCAATTTAGGCAGCACAGGAATTGCGTGCTGGTTGGTTGGGCCGTTATTGGCCTGGACATCCGTTAACTGTCAATCTGCATTTTCAGACCAAACAGGTAGACCTTGATTGGTCAGAATGCTGTCAGAGTCTGCCTGGTTAGTCCAAGAACGAAGATTGACAGTTAACTGCTTCTGCTTGCATCTCCATGCCAACAACGATCCAAACAATCAGCACACTGTCTCACGCTACATAGATTGATGTTACTTTTCTGAAGTCTGTTTCTTGCATTCAAGTCCTGATGAGTACGAGACAAACATTTCTGACTTTGTGCCTCCTTTTAGCAATGTATCAAGAACATAAATTCCAAGCTTTTGTGCTGTTAATGAAAATGAACCCAAAACTGTATGTTGGGCCTATACTCTTTGGCGTTTAGAAGGATGAGAGGTGACCTTATGAAACATATAAGATTCTTAAATAAAATCTCAAAGAACTGTGGATGCTGGAAATCTGAGAGAAAACCCAGAAATTGCTAGAGAAACTCAGAACGTCTGGCAGCATCTGTGGTGAGCAAAACAGAGTTAACTTTTTGTTTATCTTTTGGGATCCTTCTTCAGATTCCAGATTATTAAAGGGTGTAGAGAGATTTTGATGGGATAGATGTGAAGAGGTTGTTTCCTCTTATGAGAATGTCTAGGACCAGAGGGCATAAGCTCAGGATAAATGGTCACACATTTGAGTCAGAGATGAGAAGGCATTTCTTTTCTAAGGGAATACTCAATCTGTGGAATTCCTCACTGCAGTAGGCTGTCAAGACTGGGGCATTAAATTCAACACTGAGATCGCTAGATCTATAATCAATAAGGGAATCAAGAGTTGAGGGACAAAGACAGGAATGTGGAGTTAAGGACTATCAGATCAGTTACGATTTCATCGAATGGCGGATGGGCTGAATGGCTGTCTTCTCCTGTGCTTTTTGGTCTTAACTGACCTGGAATTTGATACCTGGCTAGTTGTCTGATCACACTAATACATGGAGGTCAAGGGAGGTGGTGGAGGGGGATATGTGGAATTCACTGCAGGATTGGAAGCCATTGTTTTGCTGTAATTAGTAGGACTTAGCAAAGGCAGCTCCACTCTTCTGAAAGTAGTGGAGGGCTACTGAAGGATGATGATACTGCGGGTTGTGTTAAAGGTTGGAGAGAGGTTGATAAATCCAACTACAGAGGCCGGCCCATTCTCATAGCCACAGCAAAAGTTATTTGTGACTTCCACTGGTGTTTTCCAGATCTGCAGAAGGGAATACAAATGTTTGGAAGAAACCGGAGCTGATTATGGTTTATAAATGTTAATTTCTAAGGGATGCTGTATTTTAGCCATCCGTAATAAATCTTCTGTAGCACTGATAACAATATGGTGCCACTGGTGACCATAACAGATTGCTCAGGATTTGGTTGAAAAATTGTCACAGAAGGGGATAATCATTGCTGCTGCACACAGGTGCTGCTCCATTCATGTCCTCCCAGGTCCTGCATGTTAATTGCCCATTTTGAGTTTTTTTGGGAAAGCTTGGCTACACGGCCCACATGCTTTTCATGCAATTCAGAGGGTCCATCCCCTTCCCTCCCTTTTAGTGGGAGGTGAGGAGGTTTTGAGTCTTTGGAACTCCTTGCCACAGAGAGCTGTGATGCCTGTGTCCTTGTGTGTATTCAAGGCTGAGATAGATAGATTTATGAAGAGCGGTGGAATCGAGGGTCATAGGGGAAAGAGCAGGAAAGTGGATGTGAGGAATTTTGGATCAGCCATGATCTTGTTACATGGCGGGGCAACCAGGAGGGGATGAATGGCCTCCTCTTGTTCCTATTTCTATGGTCTTATGGTCTGGAGGCCTCTGAGGAATGGAAATTGTGGCCATATACTCAATACCAGTTTAATCGTACAGGAACATCTCCAAGGGAGAATGGTTTTCTCAGTTGCGGATCAGAAGTGCTGTGTTGAAGTAAGTTAGTTCAGTGCTAATTTTTAACACAAGACAGATTTATATTAAAATATAAAGAATTTCTTTTGTTATCTAATTGTATGTTGAATTCTAGGTGCGTGTGGAATTTCCATATAATCAAAAGTTCTGTAGTGCTGCAAAACAGATGAAGAGATTCAAACAAATAGTTCATGTCCCTGGAAAAGGGTCAACTGCTGTACCTTATATCATAGTTCCACTGGAAATTGGACAAATCGATATTGAAGTCAAAGCCTCAGTCTATGACAGATTTATTGTTGATGGTGTGAGCAAACCCCTTCTTGTGCTGGTACGTATGAAACCTCTGGATGTTTTGTGCAAGCATGACCAGACTAATTTACATCTTTAGCAGTCTCTCTGTAAATGTCAAGTTATGTGGATAGTGGACACTTGACATCACAAGGTGCAACACACAGGTATTGGTTAGAAATCATGGTAAATTACAAATTAATTGGGGTCAAATGGGAAGTAGAAAATTAGGCAGGGAGATATTCTCGGAACTTGTTGATCATGATCATTTCCAGGATTTTTCTCTGAGATTTTAGAAGAATATTGAATATGTCAACTTAAATATAGAGGTGGACCATATTTAGCATGAATGATAATGAGAGCTGTGCAAGGAATGCTCAGGGGAAGATCTTGGTCAGAATATACAGTATGCTTAAAGTGCTGAATTAAACAATGCAATTTATCTTAATATAATTAACACACCACTAAAAGCTCTCAGGAAATGGATTCATGATTCCAACCACCAGTCCTCCTTTCAAAAAAAAAAGTTTTTTTCATTTTGTTGCTGTTGGTGCTTTCTCAGTCACCTTAGACTTGCATTTTTTGCTTTTTGTTCCTTCCATCAGCCGGGACAGTTTCTCTTTATCTATTCTGTCTAGAGCCTTCATGACTTTGAACACATCTATTTAATATGCTTTCAAACTTTTCTTCCATAAGGAGTCAACACAGTGTGGAGCTGGAGGAACACAGCAGGCCAGGCAGCATCAGAGGAGCAGGAGAGTCAATGTTTCGGGGCTGGGCCCTTCTTCAGGACTGGGGAGGGAGAAAGGAGCTCAGAAATAAATAGAGAGAGGACGGGTGGGGCTGAGGGAATGTAGGTGGGATGATGATAGGTGGATGCAGGTAGGGGTAGTGGAGATTAGTCAGTAAGAACGGTGGAGCAGATAGGTGGGAGAGAAAATGGACAGGTTGTGTCAGGTCAAGAAGGTGGGGATAAGAAGGAGGAGTGGATTTGGGATGAGGCTGGAGGTGGGGAGATTTTAAAACTGGTGTTCAGGACATCGGGCTGTAGGGTCCCGAGGCAGAATATGAGGTGCTGCTCCTCCAGTTTGTGGGTGGCGTCATTGTGACACTGGAGGAGGCCCAGGATGGACATGTCACCCAGGGAGTGGGAGGGGGAGTTAAAATGGTTGGCGACCGGAAGATGTTGGCGTTTGTCACATACAGAGCGCAGATGCTCCACGAAACGGTCTCAGAGTCTACGCTTGGTCTCACCGATGTAAAGGAGGCCACATTGGGAGCAACAGATACAGTAGACCAGGTTGGAGGATGGACAGGTGAATCCCTGTTGGATATGGAATGTTTGTCTTGGGCCTTGAATGGAGGTGAGGGGGAGGTGTAGGGGCATGTGTAGCACTTCCTGCGGTTGCAGGGAAAGGTGCTGGGAGTGGTGGGGTTGGTGGGGAGTGTGGAGCGGATGAGGGAGTCATGGAGAGAGCAATTAGGCTTATATTCACTGGAGTTTAGAAGAGTGACAGGTTATTTAATTGAAGTAGAAAGGGTCTTGACGGGGTAAATTGTGAAAGGATATTTATTCTTGTGGGACGGTCTGGAACTGGGGTGTCACTATTTTGAAATAGGTGGTCACCCATTTAGAACAGAGATGAGGAAAAGAATTTTTTCTCAGAGATTCATGAATCTTTGGAGCTGTCTTCATCGAAAGGAGATGGAAACAGAATCCTTTGTTATTTTTAAGGCAGAGGCCAATAGATTCTTGATGATGAAAAAGGTGAAAGATAACTGGGGAAGATAGGAATGTGGAATAAACAGATCAGCTATGGTCTTTTGCAATAGAAGAGTAGACTTGAGGAGACGAATGACTTACTCCTGCTCTGAATGCTTTTGTTTATATGTGTGTTCATAAAAGAAACTGGGCTGTTTGAAACTCATTTCATTTTCTTTTCTTATAGCCTGATGGGAAAGAAACTGATTTGCCGTTGCAAATTTATGATTTGGACCCCAAAGGTTAGTTCCTTTTTGACTGAGAACCTTCATGTAAAATGTTGGTCTTCAATGTTATCGCTGAAAATAGGGACATTGTGCTAAAATGTTCTGTCTCACTTGGTTGGCAAATTGACCCTGATTGGCTGACATATTGCCATGCAGAAAATAATGGGAAATGTTAGCCTGCCAAACCTTTAGGTTATTCAAACATTGTGGGAAGTTTGAACAGATTCCTTTATTTGCATGAAATGGGTCCCTGCCTATCAATGCATGTCAGTATGATTTAGCGACAGTACAAATTCAACTGAATATCTTAAATTTCAGTTAATTGGATGTTACAGTTGTAAATTCACAGCTAACAGTAGGCCTTTTGGTTCCGACTTCACAATTGCAGGTTTGTTTGAGTATGGCCTGTGTTCCACTTTTATGACCAGCTCAACAAACACGTTGCTGGGTTTGATTAGCCAATTGTTTAGGCCTGCAGCCTACATGTTGAGCATCACACTAGGATTCAAATTCAAATATGACATTGCTCAACTGTCTGATAGTCAGAACATCTTTTGGACTGATGTCTGCATCCTATCAAAGGATATTGTATATTATTGTATCATTTGCCTCAACATTGTACATCAGCAGCTCGAAACAATTTGCTTAATGTGCTCAAATTGTTGAGTTACTTGGCCTTTTTTATCTGGAATTTGAGGCAACTTTGGCCCATTTATGAGTTTCATGATGCGCAGCATAAAGTGACTTGATCAGGACAGTCATTGACCTGCAGAATGGATTTGGCGCAGTATCTAGGCTGTAGGTTCTACACTTCAACATGTGCCAGTTACAATTGCTGGAAGTGATGTACATTCACACTCAGGGATGCATTCTCTGCAAACTAAAGGAATATGTTCAAGGTTTACACCTTTATTGAATTGCCTAGGAGCTAGGCCGGCACAGTGGCTCAGTGGTTAGCACTGCTGCCTCACAGTGCTAGGGACCAGGGTTTGATCCCACCCTTGGGAAACTGCCTGTGTGGAGTTTTTACATTTTCCCCATGACTAGGTACACCTCCTCCTGGTGCTCTAGTTTCCTCCCACAGTCTAAAGATGTGCAGGTTAGGTGGATTGGCCGTGCTAAATTACCCATAGTGTCTAGGGATGTGCTGGCTGGGTGGATTAGCCATGGGAAATGCAGTGTTATAGGTAAAGCAGTAGGTGTCGGTGAGATGCTCTTCAGAGAGTCAGTGTGGACTTGATGGGCTGAATGGCCTGCTTCCACGTTGTGGGCATTCTAGGATCCTTGGGAGGCCTACAGTTGCACATTACTTTCTCCATGTTAATGCCTAGCTCAGTCAATGTTGACATGTTTTAACGAAGATCTGTAGCTCGGATTGCGGATGGAGTGGTTGGTAGGTTCACCGAGCTGACTGGTTTTCATGCAAGCATTTCGTCTCCATTCTGGGTGACATCGTCAGTGCCATGTAGCCTCTGTTGAAGCGATGTTGTTCTGTTCCACTCTGAGTTTATACAGTCTGGTCTGTCATGGTGAGCACTCTTGTTTCCAGTTTTGTAACATAGTGGTACGTAGATAGGGTCTATTACAATATGTTTGTTAATTGCATCGGTGGTTGAAAACCAGGCCTCCAGAATTTCTCGTGCTTGTCTTTGTATCGCTTGTCCTAGTACTGTAACCTTGTCCCAGTCAAATTGACGTCCTTCTATATTGGAGCGTATTGAAACGAGGGAGAGTTGGTTGTGTCGTTTTGGTGTGAGTTGTGAGAAGGACATCAGTTTAACTGGAACAAAGTAACCACTGATGCAATTAGCAAACATGTTGAAATAGACCCCATCTACATACCACTACAGTATAAAACCAGACACAAGACTACACACCATGACAGACCGGACCATATAAATTCAGAGCGGGACAGAACAACAGCGCTTCAACAGAGGCTACACAGCACTGACAATGTCACCCAGAAGGTAGACAAAATGTCTGCTTAAAAACCAGTGTTGACATGCCAACCAATCAGTACCATTTGCTCCCCTAGCTGTTGTGACAGTTTGAAATTTGGCATTCTTTTGTTTATCCTGATCAGTGCAAAAACGGAAAGAAATTCAACAACACATCTGTCTTTCAGCAAGTTCGGTAATGCCAAGTAAAATGTTTGTAATGGCTGTGATCTCTTGCACAAACTTGACTGTAAACTGGTCCAAATACTTAATAGAATACTGTAACCCCAAGTTGAATAAAGCCTTGAAATAGAAGATTTACTTGGAAGAAATGTGTTGTTATTATTGGATGGGAAGCACTGTTCATGCAGAATAAAGGCATTTGAGACCTGTATTTGGCCTTTCTGTACCTGACCCTGAGATTAGTAAATGAGAAAATACTTTGTTTGTGAACAATGTCATCTTGCCTCTTTACTTCAAGTAACTTTTGCATTAATTGGAAAATGGATGTTCTGAACGTGAGTTGGATTAATTGTGTTGCAATACGTGCTCAAACAGCGTCATGCAAAGTATAAAAATACAAAACAAGTGAATATTTACAAATCAAAGTTTTGTGACAGCAGAAAATAATTAATTAGTAGAACAGAAATAGGTCATTCAGCCCAATTGGTCTGTACTAGTACTTACAAACCACATGACCTATTCCCATCCGTTTTCATCTCAGTCAATCAATATAACCCTCTCTACCTTTCTCTCTCACATACTTACCTAGTTTTTCTTAAATCCGGCTAAGCTTGTTGTCTCAAGCTTGCGTTGAGACAATAAGCTTCATATTGTAACCTCTCTCTGGGGACAGACATTTCTTCTAAATTTATTTCTTGATTTACTGGAGATTCTCTTACTTTTATGGTCTCTGGTTTTAGTCTCCCCTCCACAAATGGGAACACCTTAATTTTGTTTATCTATCAAACCCCTGTCAGCCTGCTCTCAGCCTTCTTCTTTCTAGAGAATAGAGTTTTGGTCTGTTCGATCTTTTCCAATTGGCAGAGCCTGTCAGTTCTGATATCATCCTTACACGTCTGTTCTTTTTACATCTTCTCTGTACCTCTACATCTGTTTTTTTCAGTAATGTGAAAACCAGAATATTACTCCAGCAGTGGTCTAACCAATTTTCAAGAAAGTTTAAGGTGACATTTTGTTTTCTCAATTCTATCCCTTGAACTAAATACAAGCAAAACAAGGTCAACTCTTCAATCATTTCACATACTTCAACATGGATTTCCCAGTCTGAAGACTCAAGGAAAATAAGGCTTCAGATGGTCTGCGTTTATCTTTATAGAACTAACTCAAAATCTTGGGAGCTTCCATCTCCATTGATGAATTTTACTGACATCTCTCGTAAATTGCAGGAGTGAGTACAGAAAGGACAATGAATAGGAAAGAAACCCAAATAAATAGTTGTCAAGAAAATCAAAGAAATGGTGAAAACATTTGTTTTATGTAACTTAATATATTGTTTCTTCAATTCAGGTGAAGAACAAAAGATTGAGGTTGATATCAAATCTCCACAGGACATTGTTCCAAAAACAGAACCAAGCACATTCATCAGTGTTCAAGGTACATTGTAGTGGATCAAGGATTACTTCTACACAAAAATCTTCATTTGCTTTCTTATAGAGGCTGTAGGGACAAGCACATCCTCAATGTCTGAAGCCAGAAGAACAAGGTGTAGAATGTTCCAGAATCAGTTGCTTTCATGTTCTGATTATACCTACTCACCTCTGAAGTATTGCAGAAATGGGGAAAGACAAACTTGAGATTTTCTTTCAACCTCTCTTTCAAAAGAAAATAGGTTTCACCCTAAACTGATATAACAGTTTCTCTTTTAAGAAATTAGAGCGATCAGCTGGGTAACTTGTTCATTGCAAGCCTTCCTCCAACTCTGCTCGTTCTTAATTGGCCTCCCTCAAACTTGCATGGTTCGCAGTAGGCTTTCATCCAGCTGAACCAACTAAAACAAGAATCACACCAATCTAGACACCGCGTTAATAAAAAAAATACCCAGAAGGGTCAACAGCAAAACGAGCAGTTGCCCACAGACATAGGCTTTCCAGGAAGCTTTTAAATAAAATCCCTCCAATATTTACATAAATAACAAAGTGTGGAGCTGGAGGAACACAGCAGGCCAGGCAACATCAGGGGAACAGGAAAGCTGACATTTCGGGTCGGGATCCTTCTTCAGAAAAGGGTTCTGACCCGAACCATCAACTTTCCTGCTCCTCTGATGCTGCCTGGCCTGCTGTGTTCCTCCAGCTCCACACTTTGTTATTCCTGACTCCAGCATCTACAGTTCTTGCTATTTCTCCAATATCTACAGTGGATGTTCAATGACATTTTTTAAAGAAACCATTCTCAGCATGTCCCCAAAATTTGTATTTTGTTTTCCCAAAATCTTTCAAAACTTAAGTTCTTTAAGCAATATTAAATATAAAGGATCTTCTTAACAACTGTTAATCTATGAACAAAATCTTGAGGAGAGAAATTTGAAGGATTATGAGGAAAGTGTGGATTGGGGGACTACATAGATATTTCCACCAAATAACCAACACAGGCATATAAAAGCATAAGAAATAAAAACAGGAGTAGGATGTTTGGTCCCTTGAGCCTGTTCCACCATTTAATAGGTTCATGGCTAATCTGACACTCCTCACATCCACTTTCCTTCCCTTTTCCCATAAGACCACAAGATAAAAGAGCAGAATTAGGCCATTTGATCCATTGAGTCCAATCAGTCACAGCTGATATATTTTTCACCCCGACTCTTCTATCTTCCCCCTATAATCCTCGATCCTCTTACTAATTTAGAACCTATCTATCACTATTTTAAACACACTCAATGATTTGGCCCCTACATCCCTCCGTGGTAATGAGTTCCACAGATTAACCACCTTTGGCCTGAACAAATTCCTCCTCATCTTTGTTTTAAAGGGCCACCCCTTCATTCTGAGGCTCTGCCCTCAGGTCCTGGTCACACAGAGTGCTCAACCACTCCTGATATGACAAGCCCTTCATCCCTGGGATCATTCTTGTAAACATCCTCTGGATCCCCTCCAATGCCAGCACATCCATCCTTAGACATAAGGCCCAAAACTGCCCACAATATTTCAAACGTGGTCTGATCAGAGCCTTATACTGCTTCAACATACATCTCTGCTCTTGTACTCCAGCCCTCTTGAAAGGAATGCCAACATTGCATTCACCTTCCTAACCAGAAGAGATGCGACTAGATGAGGTGTGAGTGGCAGAATAATGAACAGTTACCATCCAGAGCAAAAAACAGGGGAAAAAACGAGACAAAAACTTATAAAAAGCAGCAACTAAAGTGGGGGCAGAAATTATAGGCTACAATCCCTGACCTAATTGTTGAATATGGAAGGATATAATGTATCTAATCAAAGTATGAAGCACTTTTCTTTAATTTCCCTTTTACAGACAATCTCTTACGCTACCACCCCTTTCACCCTCTTAAAAAAATATGTTTATAACTCTTTTCAGTTCTAACAAAAGATCAATAACCTGAAACATGAACTCTGTTTTTCTCTCCACATATTCTGCCTGACCTGTTGAATATTCCTCGCATTTTCTGTCTACATTCAGATTTCTAGAGTCCGCTTTGTTTTGCTTTTGTACTTAATAGCGTATTTCTTTTTAATGAAACAGGAGACAGTTTAGCCCAAACATTTGAAAATTCCATTGATGGAGCCAACTTGAAACATCTAATTAAAGTTCCTACTGGCTGTGGAGAGCAGAACATGGTATATTTAACCCCAGGAGTGATTGTCACCAAATTTCTGGACAAAACAAGGCAATGGGAAAGAGTGGGAATAGATAAGCGAGAGATCTCATTGCGGAACATTAGACAAGGTACAACTCACTCTTTATGCATTCAAGTTGATTGATTGATTGTTGTCACATGTGCCAAGATATAGTGAAAAGTGTTGTTTTGCGTGATATACAGACTGATCATATCATACAAAGTGCAACAGGGTAGCAGAACAGAGTGCAGAATACAGCGTTATAGCTGCAGACAAGGTGCAGAGAGAGAGATCAGAATTAACTTTTAGAGAGGTCTGTTCAAAAGTCTGATAATGTGGTGAAGAAGCTGTTTTTGAATCTGTTTGTACGTGTATTCAAACTTTTACATCTTCTGCCTGACTGAAGAGGGTGGAAGAGAGTGTGACCGGGGTGGGAGGGGTCTTTGATTATGTTGGTTGGTTTCCCGAGGCAGTGGGAAGAATAGATGGAGTCAGTGGATGGAAATTAGGTTTGCGTGATGGACTGGGCTGTGTTCGTGACTCTGTAGTTTCTTGTGGTCTTAAGAAGAGCAGTTGCCATACCACACTGTGATGCACCCAGACAGGATGCTTTCTATGGTGCATCTATAAAAATTGGTAGGACTTCTTGTAGACATGCTGAATTTCCTTAGACTCCTGAGGAAATAGAGACATTGTTGTGCTTTCTTGACTGTAGTGTCCATGTGGGTGGACCAGGACAGGTTGTTGGTGATCATCACTCTCAGACTCTCCACCTCAGCACCATTGATGCAGACAGGGGCGTGCCCTCCACTCCACTTCCTAAAGTCAATGACCAGCTCCTTTGTTTTGCTGATATTGATGCAGACATTGTTGTCTTTGCACCATGTCACTAAGCACTCAAACTTTTTCCTGTATTCTGTCTTGTCCTTTTTTTGAGATCCGACCTATCACGGTGGTATCGTCAGCCAACTTGTAAATGGAGTTGGGGCAGAATTTAGCCACACAGTTGTGCGTGTACAGGGAGTATAGTAGGGGGCTGAGTGCACAGCCTTGTGGGGCACCGATGTTGAGGATTATAGTTGAGGAAGTATTGCCATCTATGCTTACTGATTGTGGTCTGTGGATCAGGAGGTTGAGGATCTAGTTACAGAGGGGTGAGCTGAGATCTAGGCCTCAAAGTTTAGAAATAAGTTTCCTTGGAATTATGGTGTCTAAAATTTGCTAAGATAAGGAGTGTCATGTTTTAGAAAGTAAATTTTGTAAGTTGATGCACATGGAAACTATCAGTGATGATATATTATAATGGGAATAATGTTCATAAGTTAAGTTCTATCAAGGCTGGAATGTTAGTGCAGTCTATTGGTAATAAAATGGCAATGGCAAAAATCTTGCAGGTCACTCATGTAAATGTTGTGGGAAAGGCAGTGATTGGTGTCTGCTGAAAGAGTGATAGGTCGCAAAGTTTGGCAAGATAAATTTTAATGAGTACTTTGGACTGTAGACTAGAAAATGGGGCATTGGAAATTGCTCCTTGCAAGAAGACATTGATGGTGTCTGGTGTACTCTTTTGGAGACTGTGATGAGGAGTACAGAGTGTTGACCTTTGCTTATACACAGTGGCTGGGAGAACGGAAAAAAATTTCAGAGGACCGCTGTATATGAATACAGTTGTATATGGCTCAGACCTGGAGGTCAAATAACCCCAAAGGTGGGCCCTTAAAGGTGACATTGTTGGGTTACAGGAGAGAAGGATGTAAGAGGGGCATGGAGGAAAAAGCAAATAGATAATACGGACTTTGTCAAGGAATGCTAGCCAATTTTTTTTTTATCCCTTCATGGGATATGGGTGTCGCTGGCTAGGCCAGCATTTATTACCATTTTCAGTGTCAACCGCATTGCTGTGGGCCTGGAGTCAGATGTAGGACAATCCAGGTAAGGACAACAGTTTCCTTCCCCAAAGGCATTAGTGAACCAGATGGGTTTTTCCCCGACAATCGGCAATGACTTCATGATCATCACTAGACTGTTATTTCCAGATATTTACTGAATTCAAATTCCACCATCTGCCATGGCAGGGCTTGAACCCCGGTCCGCGGAGCATTACCACAGTCTCTGGATTAATAGTCTAACGATAATAACAATAGGTCACAACCTCCCCTATGCACATGTGAATGGAATTAGAAGAATTCAGCTTACAATGTCATAGTAGAGGAGAGAATGCCCTGGTTATAATCTAATGACAGGGAGGAAAGAATGTGCAAGTTAAGAAAGATTGATATGCAAATCAAGAAAGGAACATGGAAGTGGAGGTGATGGCCTAATGTTATTATTGAAAGACTATTACTCCAGAAACCCAGGTAATATCTGAATCCTGCTATGGCAAATGGCAGAATTTGAATTGAATAAAAATCTAGAATTAAAAGTCTAATGATGATGCTGAAACTATTGTCAGGAAAAACCATTTGGGTCACCAATATCTGGACCAAATCACTGATTTTCCCCAACTTCTTGTCGTTTTTATTTTGTATTTCCAGAGCTAGTTAGCTTTTGATTTTCATTTGATTTGTTTCCCACTCAGGTTATGCTCAGCAGCTAACATATCGCAAAGATGATGGTTCTTATGCAGCATTTCTGTCTATTCCATCTAGCACATGGTACGTTACAATGAGACAAAATGCTCCCTTTGTCTCTCTGGTAATCCTGCCATACCTCATGGAATCTTGCTTCTGTAAAATGGTTTTGGGATGTTTCACCATGTTAAAGGTGCTAAATAAATAAAATTTTACTTTTCTGCTTTTGTCTTCTGACTAATGATGCTGGTGTCAAAAATTTCACAAAGCATTGCTAGCAGTTTAAGAATATACAAAATGCATTTGTCACATAAAAGACCAAATATAAAACAAATCTAGTGGTTACACAAGACAGTTTAAACAATTTTAGCACAAACATCAAAGCAGAGTTTCAACCTGGTTTCCAACATTATCCCTTACAAATGTTCAATCCCAGAAAAATTACACTCCTATCTGAACTCTTCAGATAAATCCTCCCAGTTTCTATTCCTGGAACTGCAGAAATAAATTTTTCACAATTCTGAAGGTCTAAACTCTGTCCATTCTATGAGCTTGAATGCTGCTACACAAACTCTAGTCCTCAGACTAGAAAGCATTCTACCTGAGGAGCTTTGCTCCTCACTGAAATGAAGTTTGTTCTCCTTCTAATAGAAAACAATTCACTTCCGAACTGAGTTTAAAAAAAAAACTTGATTCTATTGCTCTGAGTCAAATCAAAACTAATGTGTTTACTCTTTCTATCATAGGCTCAACAATATAAACATTTTATGCTCTAACATCACAGGGATCAGTTGGTTGGGCAGCTGGTTTTTGATGCAGAATGATGCCAACAGCCCTTGTTCAATTCCCATCCTGCCTGACGTTAGCATAAGGGCTCTCCTTCCCAATGTCTACCCTCACCTGAGGCATGGTAGCCCTTGGGTTAAACTATCACCAGTTGTCTCTCTTTGCAATGAGACAGCAGGACTATGATCAGTTTGCCTTTTATCTTTTTCTATATTTGGACAGGCAACCAAGAGGTTGAATTTGGGCCAAAAATATTATTTCCGTTGACCTACAGATTTAGGTGAAATAATATTTATTTGGATTTCAATGTCTGAACGTTGAATCATTTTTGTCGCGTGGTCTTCGTGAGTTTTCAGAGGGAAAATCTTCTTTCGATCGCTTTGCTCCAGAAAATGTTTCATAATGAGCTTATACTGCATTTTCTTCCTTTGCAGGCTGACCGCTTATGTGCTGAAAGTGCTTGCAATGTCGAGCGATTTGATCTCAATTGATACAAACCGTCTTTGTGAGGCTGCAAATTGGCTAATAAACAATAAACAGCTCATTGATGGTCGCTTCAAAGAAGATGCTCCTGTTTTGTATTTAAAAACAATGACTGTATGCAACATGTTTCTTTTCATTCTTTATCATTCTAGCTGGCTGTAATAAAGAAACTAAACAATCTTAAAATCATAGGATGAGGCCATTCAGTCCCTCTTGCCAGTGTCAGTTCTTTGAAAGGTCTATTCAGTCAGTCCTTGTTCTTTGCTTTTATCCCAAATTTCTCCCCTTCACTTAATCCCCTAATTCTCTTCCGATAATTGCTATTGGACCTATTTTCTTCACTCCGTCAGGTAGTGCATTCCAGATCAAAGTGACTTACTGCATCCAATTAAAAATAAAACTTCCTTCGACTCTGGTTCTTGCGTGAGTAACTTTAATCTGGGTTCTCCGTTCAATTATCCTTCTAGCACTGGAAATACTTTCTTCTTATTTAATCTATCAGCGGTCTGAAAGATTTTGAACACCTTCATCAAAACTTTCGTTAACCATCACCTTCATCCTTTTCCATCTCATGACTACCTTATCCCACCATAACTTCTTACATCCTGCTATCACCCTCCACCGTTGATGAATGCCCTTTCAATCATTGTGCCACTGGTCTTCTGGATGTGGTGCCTAAATCTTTCTGTATTCAAAGCAACTTTGCATATCTTCACTATTCCCTCTCCAAAGTCTATCGTCATATGCTTTGGTGACCAAGTTATAGAATCATGTCGTACAGAAGAGCCTTTCAGTCCATTGGTCTCTACCATCAAATCATGTACAGTCTAGGCCTTTCTCTGTAGTAAACCACTCTAAAAACTTAGATTATTTGGTAAATTTATACCTTTCAGCATCTTTACACCTTTTTCAAAATCCAACATGACAAGTTGTCCAAAGATGCGCAGGTTGGTGGATTGGCCATGCAAAATTATTCATGGTGTGTAGGCTGGCAGGAAAAGCCATGGTAAATGTGGGGTTGCAGGGTCAGTGTGGACTTGATGAGCTGAATGGCCTCTTTACACCCTGTAGGGATTCTATAAATTTGCTTTATACAAAAAAAAATGGGTAGCACGCTGGCTCAGTGGTTAGCACTGCTGCCTCACAGCACTAAGGACCTAGGTTTGATTCCACCCTCGGGTAACTGTCTGTGTGGAGTTTGCACATTCTCCCCGTGTCTGCGTGGGTTTCCTCCGGGTGCTCTGGTCTCCTCCAATCCAAAGATGTGCAGGCTAGGTGGATTGGCCATGGGAAATTGCCTGTAGTGTTCAGGGATGTGTAGATTAGGGGGATGAATCTGGGTGGGATGCTCTGAGGGTCAGTGTGGACTTGTTGGGCCAAAGGGCCTGTTTCCACACTTTAGGGATTCTCTGATGATAAATGTCAACATATAATTTAGTTTTAAAATGTTTGATATGTAAAGTTCACATTTTAGTTGGTATTACACAGCATACGAGACATTCTTAAAAAAAACCCCAAAGAACTGCAGATTCTGGAAATCAGAAACACAAACAGTAATTGCTGGAGAAAGTCAGCAGGTCTGGCAGCATCTGTGGAGACTTAAAGTTCTGATAACTTTTAACAGAACTTTTAAAGAAGGTTCAGTAGACCCAAAATGTTAATTTAGATGTTCTAAATAGCCCACATTGCTCCCTCAGATGTATTTGAGGCTTTATTTTTTAGTTGTGATCTTAATTGTGGGATATTCTGTGCCAGTTTTTTTTTCTTTTAGGTGTTCTTCAGACCTTTAAAACAAATCTTTGCTGAATAATCCAATTAACTGTTAACACATTAGGACTAATCCTAATATAAGAAAGTGTCTGAGTGAACCATTCCATTTTTTGTGTGCTTGTTTCCTTTAGGGAGGACTTGGTGATGCAGAAAATGATGCTGCCTTAACTGCATTTGTACTCATTGCATTGTTTGAGGCTGATGATGTTTGCTCAACTTTTGTAGAGGTAAAGGAGCTACATTTGTTTGCATAAGATAACATGCAAATCTACAAGGCAATATTACTGAATTTATCTTCAATTTTCTAACATGTCAGTTGAAAATTTAATTGTTTCTTAATTCCACTGCAATCAGTTAATATTGGTAATGTCGCCTAAGTGGCAAATATTCAGCACATAAACTTTGGAAGTAATTGCTAGCTACTCGACTAGAGGAACTATTGCTAAACTTGATCCTGCCTACTGGGGTGTGAGTGAACAGGCAAATGTCCTAATGCCTGTGCTGGGGCATTATCGCCCTGCCCATTCAACACTTTGTGAGCAAAAATCTTTCAGTCTGAGGGATGCAGGGACAGGTGTAACTGATGGTGGGTGCTACAGATCGAAAGAGAGGTGGGACGCCAGGGGAGGAGTGGTGAGACGCTATATAAGGAGGACAGAGTATGGAACGAGGGAGGAAAATCTGAAAAAGGAGGGGTTGGGGGCAGCAGGCTGTCCAGGAGCTATAGGTGAGGAAGGGTATGCAGTCAAAGAGGTGGAATTGGTGGCTAGGGCTAGATTGTAGGATATGGGTGATACTGAAAGTTGGACCATTGGGAATGGTAAAGGTGGGTGAGAAGAACAGCAGTCCACATTCATTCATTTTGTAAAGATGCTCCTGCATTATGAGGACTGATTCTGTAAGGTTGGGTTATCCCAAAATGTTAAGCGTAGTTGATTTATAAAGAGCTGTTTTATAATTTGCCTCACTTGCTGTTGTCATGTGAATTTAAAGGCATCATTAGTAGATTATATCCTCGTACAGTACTGCACAAAGTCCTATAGGTTTCCAAATTCCATTGACATATTCCTCATTCTTCTGTGGTGACCATTCTGAGCCCCTGTATGTAGTAGAGCTTCCTACAATATTTTTTGATTGTGAGTGACTCTAAATAAATCAAAAACTTATGGGGAAGCATGTTGTTTCCAACATTTCATAGCTTGTTCAAAATCATTTTAGAGTTATGGAAACAGTATCGCTAAAGCAGGAGACTACCTGGACAATCAGTTTGATAATCTGAAGAAAGCATACTCTGTGGCAATAACAGCCTATGCACTCTCATTATTGAATAAAAACAAACTGGACACCCTGATGAAATTTGCTTCAGAAGGTAAGGCAGATTAGTAGCTATGTGCACATTTTTCTCTTTGCTTAGAATCTTTGTGTTGACATTTTGTTTACCTGTGTACATCTGGGAAATCTCTCAGTAAATGAAATAGTTTTAGTTAATGAAAGCTAAGCCTGGAACCTGAACCCAAATTCTGAATTCACTGCACACGTGAAGCAGTGATCATTTTCTCTTTAACAAATCAGTAAATGAAGGTTAAGGGTTGAAGTGAGTTTATTTAGTAATGTGGAAGGGACTCATAACAAATCTTATGCCATGCCCAGTTGCTATTCCATTGAGTCAGAGTTGACTGGCGATTATTGTATTTGGCAGTACTCCTGATGGTCAATTTCAGTCAATTCTATTTCATGAGCGTGAAGCATTGTTTGCTGGGTCCCCAACAGTGGGACATCCCATGGTACAGCTTCCACCATCAGTTGTGCTCAGGCTGGGAGGCAGATGTAGAGAAACTTGAGCAGAAGACAGAATCAGCAAGCCTTTTGTAGACATTTTCCAAGATATATAGACAGTAATCTCAGTTCCAGTACTGTTATTGGTTTAGGAACACTAAATATGTTCCAACTAATGAGAGGGAAGAGGAGGGGGAGAAAGAACCTGCCACTTGGCTATGTTAATGATTACAAATATGATATTTTTTTCATTTGTGTGTATCACCAGGAACATCAAGATTTATAAACAAAGGAGAAAGGGAAAATAATTGTCCCTTATCATACATTGTTTTGAAACTTAGCAAACGAGTGTGCTGGTGGAACATTTCAGTGGAGAAACTCTTTCTATTGCTTTTTGTGTTGGCCAGGGAAGAGCAGAGAGAGAAAAAAAATCAACAACATTTAATTTTAAAGTGAATATCTACTATTCATTGTCCAAGGAATTACTAATGTCTAATTTTTCCAAACTCCAAAACAGGAGGCTGTTGATTTATTTTTTTTTCTGCTCTGTTTGCCACTTGTTCAAAAGAGATAAATAATTCACCAGGAACACCATATCGCTGGAATTCTAATTCCGGTCTCCTTGGGGATGCTTTTGAAAGATGGTAAAGCACCTTTCTGCCAGAACAAGATGAAACATTGGCTTCAAGGGATTTGTTTTTGTAAGAGAACCATACACCAGTTTATTACCTGCTAAGCACTTAAGAAAGACTGTAATGTTTGAACTTTCAGCTTTATTTCTTTATTTTCTGCTTAAAGTTAAGAAGGTCTGCAATGTGTAACTTTTAACCTTATTTCGTATGTTTTACGTTACACTACAATTACTGCAATGTTTCACATTTAACTGTTCATTCTTTCTACCTTGTTCTTAAGATTTTTTACCCAGGTACTTCAATTTGTACCTTCTGGCACCTTGTGTGGTCACATTATATACTTTTCACTGCACTGCTGTGCTTTTGCACTTATACTTGTGACAATAAAATGAAATAAAACCAAATTTGAAATGAATGATATACTTTGAATGATCACCATTTTAACTTGTTCTTTCTCTTACACCTTTCAGATCAATCATACTGGACAGATGCTGGCAACACTAACCCTTTGTACACAATTGAGGCCACAGGATATTCCCTTCTCACTCTCGTGCAGTTAAAGGAATTTGACAAAGCTGGCAAATTAGTGAAATGGCTGTCCCAAAGGGGCGAGTATGGAGGTGGCTACAGCACCACGCAGGTTTCACAATTCAACTTTATAATTAGCTTTTCAGAAAATTATCAAAGTTTAGCAGGAATCTGGGAGAGTGGTGTGTTAAACCTGTCTGTTCTGTTGCTATCAAACAGGGAATCACCAAAGCTTCCAATGGAGAAAGCTTTGTATTTTCATCGATGTTCAGCTGATCTTTCAGACAGAATAGGGAAACACTTGGGGAGTTTGTTGGGCAATATTTTCAAGATTTTTCAAACCATTGTAAGATGCACAGATCTGACGAACTTGAACAAAACCATTAATTATGATTTGATGTTTGTTTTTGTTGATGTTGGTTGTGGAGCAGGGTTAACCAGAATGCCCAGAGAATCCCAGAGTGTGGTGAGGGGAAACAATTTCACGTTGCTGCAAAATAGGGATTGCAGTTCCCTCACTATGAAGATGTGTCCTTGATCTGGGAAGTTTTCAAGCCTCAGGCTCACGTCAATTGGTCTGTCAGGTTTCTTGGGAAGTTCATCTG